AACTTTGCCGGGCGGGTGGGTGGAATGTGGGGCAGCTTACAGACCGCAATAGAAGGCTGTGTGACATACGGAGGTGGAGGCTGGGAAGGGGAGGGGGAGTCCCGCACAGAGTGGTGTAGTCAGACTATTTCGTAATGACGGGTATGTCGGTTCGTGTACTACCGGTTGACGTCACCACGCCTGCCGGATTTCCGCACAGGCGAGCGAGCCCACGGCCTGAGACAAGCCGTCATGACTCGGCACAAGGAGTTGACTCAGAGGCAGGCGGTGCGGGCAGGGCTTCACCGTCCAAACGTCCCACAGGCGCTGACGTAAGCGTCTCGCAACATCTCACTGGTGGGTTTTGCTCACCCGGCGTGACTTGTGAGACGCACGACCGCGTCAAGCACGCACGCAATCGCGCACCGATTGCCGGGAACCCATAAAAAACACCACGCGATGCTGAGGAATGTACGGTGCGGCCCAATGAGGGACCGGACGGCGGCTGCAGACCAGCACCTCAGGCCCTGTGGGGTCTGAGAGGGCGTTGCCATGGTGGCAGCCCCAGTCCCGCGCAGCACGCGTCCCTGACTGCCATGGTGACGGCGCGACGCGAGCCGGTCGACACACCCTCTCCCATCCGAGGAGGAGCGGCGCGTCCCGCCCACACGCGGCGGACGACGGCACAGGGGTCGGCACCCAGCCCGCTGCCGCCTGCATGAGGGGACCACCGGCCAGCACCCTCCCCAGACAGACATTGGCTGAGATGACCGCGAGCCGGTGCAGTCGGGTGCCGGCCAAGTGAAGCCTGGCTGGCTGGCTGAACAGCTCACGATGTGTGGCGCAGATGTGCACCGATGAACGTTCGAGCCTTTAAACGGCTGTCACTACATTGCGACATTTGCAGGGACAGCTGAAACGTCACAGCATCGACATAGCAGCATGGTTCGTCACAAGTGCCACTGCAAAGCAATGTTTGCCGCGCGGTAAAGAGACGCTGATGCTGACGCGCAGCGTAAGTTAAACAAACACCAGCGTTTTGTGCAGAGGTTCAGGTTTGACCGACAGAATCCTCGTGTGTATGAACACAATTTTCTGGCATAAAAAACGGATCATTTTCAGCGCCTTTGGAGCCCGGATGGACAAACTGCACTTGACAGTAGATAGCGACCGCGGTCCCGACCCGCCGCCCCTCTTCCCACCGGGGGCCCAGGCGTCGGCGGCGCCACCCCACAAGACACGACGGCGCCGAGTGGGGCGTGCGTGCCCAGCGCCGAGCACGCGACGCTTACCTTCGGGCGGCCGCTGGCGCCGCGTCGGCGAGGACGCGCCGCACGACAGGCCGACGCCCATCGATGACCTCTGACGGCCTCAGATCGCCGCGTGCCGCCCTCCACCGCAGCGCATGGCTCACGCCGGCCTGGCACGCGCGGCCGGTACGTGGCGCACCGCGCACGATCGCGCCGCGTTCGGCGGCGGCGGCGGCGGCGGCACGCCGACGCGTATCGACCGAGCCGGCATGTTGCGTCACAGGCCTCACTCAGCCACCGCCGGCGACCGGCGACCAGCGACCGGCGACCGGTGACGGGAGATCGGCAACGGGAGATCGGCAACCGGAGATCGGCGACCGGAGATCGGCGACCGGCAACGGACGACGGGCGAGTGCGCCAGCCGCGCACCATCTCACCGAACATGGAGCAAGTCTTCCCGGGCAAGGAATGGGTCTCCCCAGGCATGGAGCGAAGCCCGGTAGAGGATGAGCCTCACCAGAAGGGATGCGAGTCTCACGGGAAGGGAAGCGACTTTCACGCGAAAGAGGGCGTCCCGGTAACGGACAAGTCTCCCCGCGAGCCGAGTCTCACCGGAAGGGAGGCGGGTCTCGCTGGAAGGGAAGCGATTTTCACCGGGCAGAGCGAGTCCCTGTAGAAGACAAGCCTTACGGGGGGGAGGCAGCCTCAACGAACAGAGCGAGTTCCGGTAGATAGTGATCCGGCCCGAACTGGAGGCGTGCCTCAATGGCCAGGGGGAGTGTGACAACCGGACAGACGGCGCTGTCTCGGGTCTCACACGATGACGTTCGTACACGGACACCCTAATGAAACCCCAGATCACGAGCGCCAGATCACGACATGCCGACCGACGGCACACACAGGCCGTGGCGCGGCTCGTGAAGGCTGGCGCGATTCTCAGGACATGCATGCACCGGTGGCATTCACGACTGGCGCAAATCTCGACAGGCCGTACCAATGCAGTGAAGCAGTGTCGGGAGGAGCGTGAACGAAGGCTTCGGGCGATAAACCCACCTAAAACTGCGTCACCACTGCAGCCAATGTACACCTGATATGTGCAAGAACAGGAAAGTTGGAAGACCCATCACGCGGCTCCAAGCATTTGCATGGAAATGTTCTATGGGAGTCAGGGCACACCATCATTCCAAACTGCTTGAGCATTTCGCTGCCAAAACGTAATACTGTTCATATCGATAGCTTCTTTAAGCCGTTTTTGGCCGCTTTTTCTCTCAAATAATGACGCGTCTAGAGCCCAACAACACCCGTTGCGAACAGTACAAAAATTAGTGTCACAGCCCAACGTGAGGAGGAACTTATGACACTTGGCAAGCATGCGTTCTTGAACGGACCAGTGGGACTCTTGATTTTCCATGGCATTTGCTTCCAAGAACCCCATTCTGAGCCTCAGGACCCACCAAGCATTGGCCAAAGTGGTGTCACAGCTGTGTTCTGGCCAGGTTGTGAATAAGGGTCAGACCTCCAATAACTGGTTGACATGCAGGTTGACACCATCTGTCCACCTGACCTTGCTGATCAATACAGTAGCCAAATATCAACATAATGTGAATCAAATGCACAAAACAATGAACTGGTCATAAAAATGCAAAATGTATGTAGCAGTTCTAAACATTTGTATGCTGCTATAAAAGCTATGACATAAAGGCTCAACATCAGTTCTCCCTGCAAACCATAAAATGCCTAATGGCAAGGAATGATTTGTCACAATTGCATGGCATATTATTCATGTGCATGAACCTCACATCAATAAATTGCTAAGCCAGTGGGAAAATCCATGGCAAAATGTTGATAAACTATGCCACACATGGAGGGAGGACAGGGGTAGGTACAGAGCATGTTGAAAGCACAGCAATGCAGGTATGTGGGGTTTAGGGCAGTGTAATGTTGTAGTGCCCAAGGGTGATCAAATATGGTGCAAAACAATTTTTCAAATATAAGACCATAAAGCTAGATGACATCGCCTTCCTCTAGTGCCAATGTGCCTACATGTAATTCTTACTCATCCATGGGTTGAGAGGGGCCAAAGAAAACATCACTTTCCTGGGTTAAAATCTTTGCCAATACATAGCCAGTAAGGACATCCAGCAGGACCAGTGTGTTATGGGGGAAGGGTAGAAAGAGTTGAGATATTGCTTAAAAGGGTTGACATATTTGTGGATGATCCCTCGCAGTTCACACTTCTGTTCTATGAAGAACATGGAAAAGATCTCCCACAGCTAATTATCAACTCATGATATATCAGGCATGGAATCTTAATGGATAAACCCACACATCGTGGAGCATGAAGCAGGTCATCCTTCATGTGCACTTACCAGAAAGGTCCAGTTCATATGCCTCAAAAGGTATGTTGTTGGTCTTTAGCAAGTTCTTCACCTGAAAAAGCAGGTGGGGCTGAATTTGCAAGAACTGATGCCTTAGTTGGCATTCACTTGTACCTAGCAATTGCATCACAAACTTAATTGTTCACTGATAATCATTAGCTGCATTACTTCCACAACCTGACCGAAGCAACACCACCAGTCTTACCTTATATGTAAAATCACTGCATCACCAGGACCCATGAAACTCGTGAAGCTGCATGACTTGCATGACAGTACACCTGATAAAGAAGTGGAAGTTGTATAACTTAATGGTAAATTCACAACTGAAACCCTCACTTACCTTTTCACAGAAAGGGCACCATGACTTGCTGAATACAGCTACTTTATTGTCATTGATAAACTTGTCAGCCACAGCAGCCGGGTCAGTGCCTGGTGTGGGTGCCATCCTGAAAAAGGTACAACATACTGAAATGCAACAAAAGTGAATCTCACTTTTTGTATTTTTCTGTGTTGTGATCATGCCTCAGCAAAGCACAAACACAAACAACATTACTTGTCAATCACAGAAGGCACCCATATAAGCATGTGGCCCACAACCTTTTCTGGAAGGGCCCAGGAGGCTCTTCTGCAGGCCTAATTTTAGGCTTGCAGAAAGCAAGGCCCAGTTTCTGTTTGTGCTTCATTGAATGGACCACATACATACTAACAAAGCATAACAGAGTTCATAATTGCACTATAAATAAAATTTCAACACTGGTCTCAGTATAAGCTAATGCCTCTCATGGTTTCAACTTCCGATTGCCAGGAAATGAGGGGATAAATGCTTTCTTCACTCCTTTATATTCAATTCATCTATTTAAACAGTGGATCATACGTATCATTGATGATACACATAGTTATAAAATATACTCATATCCCACCCATATCTTTGTGATCTTATTTACTTATTTTTGTAATTGCTATATTTCACACATAAATTGAGACACTACTGACTTAAGTTGCATACCATGTATCTACTCAAATTTCATTCATTGTGCACTGAAAGAGTCACCAGCAGGTATGGATACTGTATTAGCTAACCATGCACTGCTCAAAATCAGCCAATGTTCAAGAAAAATATTAAGTTGTAAGCCAAGTTGAAAGGCAAATTGTTGTCATTAGCATTTCACACCACAATCACCAGCTGAGGGTACACAGTATTGCCCACTCATTATCTTAGCATGAAGGCCAGGAGCTGCAGGAAACCAAACAATGGAATAAGTAAATTAATGCATGCCCCTTATTTCACACAAAACACCTGTGTCCAAACCAACTAGAACTCAATCCACTGAATGTCAAAGGACACCTATATATCTTCATAGCAAACCTATAGCATGTGCAAGCCCAACTCAGGCCAACCTAAAACATGATAACAACATCATATCATTTTTTGCTTCTAAAATGCTCACTGTAGCATCAATTCTTTAAAGTCTGGCCTGTGACCAGTTATGGTGAGTGATCAGTACCATGTCAGAGAAAAGAAGACATGTGCAGTGTAATGACTACTGGCAGTGGTCACAACTAAAAAAAAATTGTGCAAAGACACATATGTGCACATCTATATGACTACACACCAAATGACACACTTGGATACTTTGGAAGTAAGGGTCACCATCTTATGCTGAGTATCTGAATAGCCTATGCTATCAAAAATTTTGCTTTCATAATATTTTTGTCTATAATCCTGGCTGAAGAAATAAAATGACCTGTTTAAACATGTCAGACATGGCTACGCTTTGCCGTAAATATTTCAGATTTCAGCATTTTAACTTTTTAAATGGGGGAGCTCAGAGCCTGGAGCATGGTTGCCAATAATTTCAGTGCAAAGAGGTGATGATTCTGAGATGCACAGAGCTGATGGAATGATGATAGTGATGCTGAAAAGACAACTTTAGGCAGACATATTCCAAAAATACTTATAACACAAAGATCACTGGAAAATTCAGGGCATTTTAGCATGGACAAAATTTGGCATACATGACCTCTTGGTACAGTTCATTAACTTTGTTGTCAAATTGCACAGATGATCAATAGTTTGCAGAACTCAAATTACTTTTGGGATGTAATGATTCCTTGTACCATTAATATATAATATATATATATATATATATATGCAAACTGCCCTGCAAGTTACCTTGCAACCTTAGAAATCCCCGAAACATTGGCTCTTTGTGTCCAAAATAATAACGGTCATGCACAGAACTTCACACAGATTCATGGCGTATGCGCGCCAAAACTTCTGCTGTGATGCCGCCGTTTCGCTCTGCACAACCTGTGTTTCTGCAATCTAGCTCAACGGAATAATACTTTAGGCACAGTGACCTCCAATCCAGATGCAAAGCTCGCCAACAACCGGACCCTTTCCATCCTCCACGACAGAGACCCGCACCAGCAAAATGACACGACTACTTCCGCGACCCACCTACCTCCTCTCGCCGCGGGGCGGCAAGCAGAATGACCGCGCGCTAAATCAACGGCAAGTGCGCCATCTGCGTCACATCTCCACCGTTTCTGGCACAAGTCCAGGCCGACCGCTGCGCCCATCTGCAAAAGCTCCGCCATCTATTGGGGGGGCACAGACACTTTAGTTCTCGCTTTCGTTAGGGTGTTTGGTACTACGGCCGGTGATGCCTGTGTTCAGTGCCCCGAGTGATGGATAGCTGGGATACTTTTTTCGTCAATGCGCGTTTTTGTCACAGACATCCTGCAGAACCAGCGAGCACGATTTCTACACAAACTGTTCGAACTCGGTGCGTCCGTCTGTCTGCTCGTCGTCTTTATATACATATATATATATATATATATATATATATATATATATATATATATATATATATATATACTATATATATATATAATATTATATGCCTTTTATATATAATATATTTTACATACAAATTTTATATATAATTCGTCATTTATGTATATAATTGCCTGTTGACTCGTGTGCAGCCGAACGGCAGGTCACCCAAACGTGAACCCTGACACGGTGTATGAGCGACTTGTCACGGCAAGCTTCGTGCCGTTTCGGTCAGCGGGCGGTGTGTTATGTGCGTTGCAAAATGTTTTTAGCCCACCGTTTTTCGTGGCAACCCGACAAAGCAATCTGCGCCAAGGTCGGCGATTTGCTGTTCGACACCGCGGGCCGGAGCGGTGCGATATTGATACGCTTTGACATATAATTGAACGGAGAATTGCTTAATGTCACGTGCGAGACTGACACATCTCATGTTCTACGTGTACAGCAGCCTCCAACACGGGTTCAACCCTCGTTTACCGTTTTCACGTTGCATGCCACATCCCGGCAGCCAGGCCTGGCGGAGGCGTGAATCCAACTTCAAAGTGTTGACCGGCTTTCCGCCTGTAAAAAATGTGATCGCGCCAGAGTTTATGACGCAGGGCCACACTGGTAATTGCTGGGTAAGCCGGAAATGTTGGCATTTCTAAAAGTCCCGATTGCAGCACACTGTCGCCGACACCGGCGAGAGGATCGCGGTGAAATTGACACTATTGCATGGGCCGATTCATTGGTCATATTTACCAATTTTTATGTGCTTTATTTTGCTCTGGCATCAATTTTCCAAAAGAGTTACAGACCTCCCTTTTTTCGACATCGGACTGTCACTGCTTAATAGCTTGGCCTCCGCCGCCGAGTACTTAAAAAACGTCGAAAAGTGCGCGCGCTGTGACCGCCGACGGTCAGCGGTACTTTATTCTTCTGCAATGCTTTCATTCGAGGGTGGCGGAAAAGATGACTCATGGCAGCAATGAGGATGTATTATTGCGCCCTTTACGGGCTAAATTTGATCAAACTTTTCCAGTTTTCGTGCATTTGCGATGCATTATTTCCCCGCAAAACGGGGTGATCGCATTAATCTGGAAGCAGGCCATCGCATTGATCTGGAAATTATCTGTACAGGAAACACAGCATTTACAGTGTCTGCAGGTGATGTGTTATAGTATTGGTATAAAGTACGACATAAGCATCGCAGCAGCTTCGGTTTACGTGAGAGCTAAAATTTAAATGATCTGGCGCTGGCAGCGGCGACCTGAATGTCTTCCTCGGAGCGTTTGGGATGTGGACATTTTGGCATTTTGAGAGCAGCGTATGAAGCTGAAATATGAAAATTACAGTCGTGCGCATCCGATGGTTTCATACAGCACCATGTTTTGCTGCGGCGTGTGGTATCATCCGCTTAGTCGTATGAATATGGCAACAAACCTGTGTATGCTTAGCTATGCGATCATTTCATTCAGCTAAAACAAAATGGCGTGCGCTCATCTCCTGTAGTTAATTTTTGAAATCAATAGCATTTTCTCCTTAGCGTTGATATCAACCTTCTTCCAGTACAGAGGTAGGAACAGAGCGAGATGGATAACTAGCGGTCATCGCTCCATTTTGGCCAAATCGGTTAGGGATTCATTCCATTATGTCAAGCAAGTTAGGTGTTTTGAGTTGACCGCATGACTGTTTAGCACTCTTTGGTGCGTTTGGTGAGCATTTCGTATAAGTTGTATTGTGGCGTTTATTTTCTATGACTGTTAAATTTCTGTATTTAGCGTGCAGCTATATCGAAACAGCGTCGATTGAAGTGACAACAGAAATATAATGAATCCGTTGCGCGCTGACCGCGGCGACCAGAACAGCTTACTTGAAACGTTTGGTGGCAAACCCCTAACCACGCAACATACGCAACAAAACTCAAGCTGCAACCAAAATTTTGGCGCTTTGAGAACTGCATTTGCAAGCTTAAGTGTGACAATTATAGCTGTAGGCTTCACTTCATAATGTCACGCAGGGCAAGCTGTTTTACCGGCTTGCCCATAGCACTGTTCCGTAGGACACCGGCCTCACTGAAGGAGAGTCGAAGAGCCTCCTGCGTTGGTCAATCTGTCATCAATCAATCCGATCAGAACTGTGGGCCTTCTGGCAATGAAAGGAAACACGAAAAGTTATGACGAGTATTCACATTAAGACATTGGAACGATACTGCACCAGTCAGGACCCACAGTTCTGACCGGTGGGCCCTCCAGCTCAATCCCAGCATGGGCCTGTTCAACCGAATTGGAGTCTATATACCAATTTTGGACCAACTGTGGTGATCAGGGATCTTACTGCATCAGTGAGGGTTTCTGTGTCGATACAGGGCTAACTGCGCGGGTCAGAAGGCCTCTCGCGTCCGGGCAGGGACCACCGTGATATGATGTACCCCTTTAAGGGTCTCCGGTCAACCATGGGATCGTGCCACGTGTCGCCAGAATGGCAGCCGTAAGACAACCACGTGGTGGGACGGAATGGCCCTTCAGCCCTCGACCGGGAACAATGATGTGGCCCCTTGTGTTCAACTCTGTTCTACTGTTTCTACTCGTGCGAGAGCGACCGATGTGAAATAATGCTCCCGATGGTCTTTCCAACTGTATTCGAACCGCTCACAAATGACTGAGCGTGTCTTTTTACAATTTTGAGGTTGTGCTTTGGACAGGTGAACAGTTACAGCATACGAAAAATAGAGATTCTATCTTGACGGTCCCTACTTCCACCACCATATTCTAACGCCACTTCTTTTTTATACAAAAAGGGAACGCAGCCCACGTCGCCACGTCGCCTTTCTGGAGCGCCGAGGACTGCAGCGGCCGCATTAGAGCTCTCGGTACAGCACCACCTTGCGGTGCTGTAAGGGCCAATCCGTGCTTACTATCAATCTACAAATGACACAGGTGAAACAGAAACCCAAGCTTCCTCCTAACCATACGATTTGATGTCCTATGGCGTTCAAATGTATTCCTTTCAGATGCATCATCATTTTCGTCGGCCCGCTGGCCACCGCTTAGTGTTAGCCGCGGGGTAGACGCTGCACGGCCTATGGAGATCGTAACACCTGGCGTCGAGATTCTTGTTGTTTTGGTTGACGAACGCGCATGTTCAAAACTGCGTTACAAAGTTTGCATCACTATTTGGTTCTGACTGAATGTTGAACATCTCCAGGCAAGCTTGGCCAATCCATGTTCATACAAATTGCTCACCCATTTCGATCTACAATCTGCAATCGCTGCGTTCCTTAATATCTATGTAGAATCCAGATCAAAATTTTGGCAATGCTTCTGGGTCCTATCGGATTAGAGAGAGCTCACTAGACCCTCGTGAAATGAAGAGTGCCGGTGATTTATTTCATGCCGTCATTAAACGCATGCCTTAAGCTAATTGACTCCTGATACACTATTGACGGGCAGAATTGATCCCGCGGTAGTGCATGGCTTGTGCGTTATTCATAGAAGGTAAAAATAAAAAAGAGCAAAGAAACAAAGTCTCATGAACAAATGGGCCACATCCAGCAATATCTGGGCGGACTTTTTAGTATCAGTGGCCCTTTGTCAATCCCCCCCCCCCCCCCCCCCTTGTCAAAGCTCTGGCTGCGCTCCTGGGCCGGTGGTTGGCCAAAAGACAACGGGCTCCACTTGCGCCTACACGCTGTCTGCTAAGGGCGCGTCTGTCTGTCCCTTTTCGCGTTGCGCCAGGCTCGGGCGCCGAACGGCAGGTCGCTGAGCTGTGCAATTTGGACACGACACGCGGGGCGCACTGGGGCGGTTTTCCACAGGTGGATCGTGAGCCGGTGCCGTTCGGGCGTGGCACGTGGCGGACGGGGTCATGGGACCGACCATTGGTTCGGCACGGATGACCTGGCAATATGGCCGACGACAAAGCCGCCGAACAACCGTTCGATACTGTGGCCACATGTCCACAAACAGGGGTTGGAGCACAAGAATTGACACGCCTTGGTAGCTGATTGAGGGACAGTCGCGTGGTACCAGTTCTGCGGTCGCGCGTACCAAATGTCACGTGCGCAGAAGTGGCTAAAATGGATTTGCCCAGTTTCACGGTTCTCAGGTTTTTTACCATAGATCAGCAGCCGGAGCGAGTTGAGGCACAAGTTAGATCTCGTCTCGACCAACGTACCGTCTGCAATCAATGTGATCAAGATGAGCTTGTGCGATGCATGGGCTGCACCAATAATCAGCGGGCAATCTGCGAATGCCGGCTTTTCGAAAATCGGTGCCGAATACATCACGCTGCCGTCGAAAATAGTTTATGCATCAACTCCACTTATAGAGTTGTAATTCTACATTTTGGCGTCGCCAGGATGCCATGATTGATTTCCCAGCTGCCGGCGGCGAGTATTTAAAAGGAAGTATGCCACCTTCTGACATTTTGTACAGTTTACTTATTGTTAGATCAGACGTGTTCGATTGTATCGGTAATACCAGACCTCTCGAATTCCGTTTGGATACCTTAGAATTTCAATTCGAAGTAGCCGCTCCTACGGAAGAAATCTCATTGGACTCCCTGCTCACCGCCATGAAAGTAATTCATTTAAGTTGCGTTGCTTTTCCAAAGTGTGTACTGTAATGTTTGCAACTCACAAGTTGTCAAAATGACTGTGTAATAAATGCTACAAAAGCTGGA